TAACTTCAAGCATAATTTACCAGAAATTAGAAATCCCCATTTTTGTTATTGATGACACAAACAAGACTTTGAGTTCCATTGTGAATAACTAGCTACTTGAATATAACTTAGCAAGGGATTTTTAAAAGAAAATAGCTACTTCATGTTTTTAAACTTTTATGGTACAAGGCATCCTGACACCTACAACTGAAGAAAACAACTGTGCTTAGTTCAAGAAGATCATTGCTCCACCAACCAAAACATATACATGAACAAGAGAAAAAATTAATTTTATTAAAGACAAACTTCAAAGCTCCTAGATAAAAGCATTGAAGAAAAACTACACAACATTGGTCTGGTTAATGATTTTTTTGGATTTGACCCAAAAGCTCAGAAAATGAAAGAAAAAATAGGTAAATAGGATTACACCAACTCAACACTATTCTGCAATGTAAAGAATTAACAGAACAAAGAAACAACCTACAGAGTGGGAGGACATATCTATAAACTGTATACCTGATAAAAGGTTAATATCTAAAATATACAAGTAATTCAATTTGATATCAACAAAACTATTATCCCAATTAAAAATAAGCAAAGGAGCTAAATAGACAGTCCATAAAAGAAGACCTACAAATGACCAACAGATATGTTAAAAAATGTTCAATATCATTTGTCATTATGGAAATACAAATTAAACTTCAATGATATAGCATGTTATACCAGTTGAAATTTCTATTATAAAAAAGATGAGGGTAGCTCAGTAATAAAGAAATTGTCTAGCATGCACAAGACACTAGGTTCAGTCCCCAGCACTGAAAATAAAATGATAAAAGGTGAGTGTTAGAGAAGATGTGGATAAAAGATGATGTATGTATACTGCTAGTAGAAATTCAGTTAGTACAGTCAATATGGGAAACTATCGAGCAGTTACTCAAAAAATCAAAAATAAAATTACCAAATTGTTACTTCCTACACACACACACACACACACACACACACAATTGGCTTGGTGAAAAGGAAAAAGACTATATTTGAAACCGATTCCAAGAAGATGGAAAGGTCTCATATTGCTACAAATCACCATGCCATTGTGTTCAGGTTTGCAAGAGCCTCTCACAGTAAAGAAGAAAGGGAAGAAAAGGAATAGAATTAGACAATATTCTGATCCACACTTGTTTCATCTCCACTGGTTGTTTTCAATTGTTTTCCTTACTCAGGAAACAAAATTCCACTCTAACATCCTGGGGCCGGCTTCTGCATATTCTTTCCATTCATTTGAGTTGTGGAGAGGTGGGGGGTGGTTAAGCCCTTGGACTGAGAAGCATAGAGAACCAGCTTGTTAAAAAAGAAAAAGAAAAAAAGAAAAGAAAAATTCTAACTTAAAATGTCTAGTGTAAGAAATGATTCAAATATATAAAAGTATATTGTAATCATGATTCCCCATTATGTGGTCTTGAAGCCTTATAAAGTTTTCACTCATTAATTGGAATGGCTTTCTTCTGGGCTGCTTGATATTATTGCCTGTGATGAAATGAACAGCTATTTTGAAGAAAACAAGACATCATAACAGCTAGTGCTGATTTAATATCATATTGTTTTGAAGCTCCATGAAACTGTTGCTCTTCTGTCTCCATTGGTTGTATCATGTTGTATCTTACTGGATTTTATATGTGATAGTATAAACAAAAATTTTTATAGGCAAAGAGATAATACAGAAACCATTGTTCATTTTCCATTAGCTGCTTCTAAATACCCTGTAATACTTTCGTCCACTTAAGTGGTTTCACATTGTGTTGATATGTTTGATGCTATAGTATACGAAGTTATATTCAAATATTTCAAGGAAAGAGACATTATGGTAACTACTATTAAGTAGGGTTATTTGGTGGTGAAGCACTAGGTTGCTGAAATTGTCATGCTTTGACCTGTATTGTTATGTTGTTATGTCCTCTTTTATCTCAATCTCTCCCTTATTCTTCAAAAAAATTATTTTTTTAATTAAGGTAAAAATTAAAAAATTAGCAGGATGTATTATAGTAACATTTTTGATTTCCTATTAACTTGATTTGAAACCGTGTATTACTCCCACTATCTTGTTTTGACTGACTGGACTCTGTTCCGTTCTGTTTGATAGTATCAAGTTTGAGGGTATAGGCAACTACTTTGAAGGCAATAAGATTCACTATGATGCCCATTCTGGTTTGACTATTATCTTGTTTTGAAATCGTGTAATGTTTCCAATGTTTAGGTTTTATTGCTCTTGTTCTGTACTGTTTTGTTCAACTTTATTATACCTAATGATATAGGCAAAATTTTTTAAGTAAACAAGAGGCATTATGGTAACCATTGTTGATAACCTTGTACTCTGTTTTTACATCATGAGCTATGTCTATCCTTGGTTTTGACTGACTGCTTTGTTTTGTCATATTTGGTTTTATTCTCTTCCAAAAAAAAGTAATTAGAACTATGGGAGTAATAAAACCCAAAATGTGTAAATTTTGTTGTACAAAAGAGAGAAAAAAACGTGCTCTAAAGGATACAACTGCAAATGTGTTTAGGTGTGTTAAGATAGATGAACATATTAGTAAGTTTTCATTGAATCATTGAATACAACTCTTTGCAGTCTCACTGTTTGAATGTCCACTTTGTATGCTTTAATTCTGTAACTTGAACAGCTATTTCTAAGATGACAATATGTAATCTATTAAATAGTGATTTCTTACTGTTTTTTTTTAAATTCTGTATTACTTGTACCCTTATACTGTTTTGGTTTTTTTTCTTTTTTTCCTATTAAATAAAAAAAGTCTTACTTAACTTTTTTCATTGCTAGAACAAAATACCCAACATCCACAAGGTTAAGGAAGAAAGGTTTGTTTTAACTCACAGACTGTAGACATTTCAGTTTATAGGTGACTGCTTCCAAAGCAGGGAAGCACGGCATAGGAGAAATACTCTACAGCAGGACAGGCAAGGGGCAACAAAGCAGCAGCAGCCTACCTTCCATATTTCCCTTTATATTCCATCCAGGCTACAAAACTATTAGTTTGTACCACACCCAGGGTGGGTCTTCATTATGCATACCTAGAATGATGCTAAGCCGATTTAGTTATCACACATCCTAGATCCAGCCACCTCTAAAAAGCCCTAACTACAATCATATGAGTCTTTTAGGTGGAGGTGACATCTGGATACAAGCTGTAACAAAAGATAGCCATCTTGCCCTGCCAGTTAAAATATCATCTAGGAATCCAACTTTTTGGGTATATATACAAAATATTTGAAATCAGTGTGTTGAAGAGATAACTGCACTCTCATGTTCATTGCAGTATTAGTCACAATACCCAAGTTATGGAATCAATCTAAGTGTTCATCAATGGATTAATGGATAAAGACAATATGTTACATATTCACAAAGCAATGTATTTCATCCTTAAAAAGGAAATTCTGTCATTTGCAACAACTTGGATGAACCTACATAACATGAAATAAGCCAGATATAGAAGAATAAATATTTATATTCATATTCTAAATTACTCTCATAGAAGTAGAGGAAAAGGTACTTAACTGAGACTGGAAAGGAGAGTTAACTGAGACTGAAAAGTTGGTTAAAGTGTACAAAATTTCAGTTAGGAATTTTTTTGAAATCTAGTAAGTACTTCAAATTGGCTAAGAGCAAATTTCAAATGCTCTCTCCACAAAAAAGTACCTTAGGGGATGGATATGTTAAATAACTTGACTTAATCAGTCCACACTGTATGCATATGACATCACTTAGTAGGTCATAAATGTCAATACACACTAAAATTAAAAGAAGATTTCTAAGTGGCTCAGTGTGATTCAGTGACAAAGCAAGTGCTTAGCCTCAGTTCAATCCCTAGCACCTAGCACAAAAGAAATTTTTCTTCCTACACAGTGTCTAAACCAAATCCATTTGATTTACTATCCATTTCTTTTAATTCAGGTCTGACCTTAAGAGTGTGCCTAGCCTTCTCTATAGATGTCCCCTCAAATTTACTTATGTCAAGTGTGTTTAGATTAACAGTGCCTCCAAGAGCCCCAGAGCCAGTAATACTAGCATTGTTAGAAATATAAATTGTTAGAAATATAAATTTGGACACCACATATGACGAACTGAAAAAGCAACTCTTATCAATGGAATCCAGCAATCTGTGTTCTAACATGTCCTCTAGCCGATTCTAAAGCACAGGAAAGTTTGAGAACCACTGACTTGGACTGCCTGTTTATATGGTTGTTTCTCTGGTTAACAAACAATAAGGTTCACTAGTTCCGAAGCATAAGCAATTACCAAACCAGGGTTTTTGGTGTGTGTACAATCCCTGCCCTGAATAGAGTTTGCCAGAAAACCAAAGAACTAGCATACACAAGTTTCAAAGGCACAACCTAACAAGTCTATGAATCCTGCATTGCACTCATGCCCAGAGCTTGTGGGCTCTGCCTGTGGGGAAACCTTACCCAAAGGAAATACTGATTCTGTCAGAGAAAGACTGGGATTGTGGTGGGTAAAAGCTCTCACCAGGAATAAAGTGGTTTGGGCCTTAAGTACTACTCTGCCCTCCAAGCAGCCATATGTAAGGTAAAAACGAAGGGCATATGCCTCGAGGAAAACTGCACACGTTTGGGTTTTTCTTCAAAATACATTAAATCACCACAGCAAAGAGCCATCCAGACCCTCCTGAGAGGATTCTGTGGTCAACAGGTAGGTTTTGATAAAACATGATGCATCACTTCTGTCCTGTTGTAACTGCATCTGTTCAACTGCAGATAGCAAATAGCAAAAGGCGGGCTGCATATGTCCAGAATAAAGTGTAATTCTTATCTTAAAGAATCAGAAAATACGGGTCACCGCAATAAAGTCAGAGGTACTTTTCAGGTGTGTTGGTGCCCGGCCTACAACACGTTTTCGCCCTGATTTTATCTTCCATTTATCATTTTGCGGCCACGCCTATAGATCCCATCTGTTCCTAATCGCGAATAGCCAGAAAATTCACACATTTCAATGTCATCACACACAACATAGTTACACTGCCATTTAAGCCTGCAGCTACGCCATCAATTGTCGCCGCCAGATTCGTTCATCTCTCAGTTCCCCCTACTCCTGATCCCCTCTCACTTCTGTTCCCTTCTCAGCGCAGCTGGCGGCAGGACATGCCTAGTCCTCAGCCTTAAGAAGTGCTACAAACTTCTGCCTTGTCTGCTCTCTTGTGGCTGACAGCCCCTGTCCTGCGGCCTCAGAAAGCAGCAGCGGTGGCAGTGGCCAGACTGTAGTCACCCGCTCAGCTCACTGCCCTCCCTAGTCGGCCATGATAACGAAGCATGCTACAATTCTCCTTCCCGGAGCCAGGTAAGGAGGAAAGTGGAACTCCCACAATCCTCCTCGCCTCCACGCCCGGTTCACAGCTGCAATATTAACCCCTTCACCTCCTCTTCCTTATCCCGTGCTCTCAGTTGGGAGATCCAGGTAACTAAAGTGGTAAGGAGGTAAAAGATCAGGCTCAGCCACTTAGTCATCTATTGAACATTTCCTAATTTGCTTATAGGTTGACTCGCAATTTTATCAATTATGATAAAACAGGTCTTAACTTATTGTTAAGTGAACAGTTTCTGATGCTGTCTTTAAGCTGGTGGACTAATCCAAACTCAATGTTTACCCTAAACCTGTAACTCTATTTTCCCTTTCTTTTCTTTTGCTCACCTCTGACTCTAACTACATAATTAACAACACAGGCTTTGAATCCTGAGTTTTGGCTTTGAGTAACCGTGGAATCTTGGGCAAATAATTTTAAAATGCTGTTCTTTTTCTTCTTTATCCCATGTAGAATGGGTATGATACTGTGATAGCTATCTCCAGGGTGGTAATACAAATATATCAATTTCAATTAGAACATTGCTTAACACAGAGTTAAGCAGTATATGGAAATGTAAATTATAATTCTTGCCTTTGATGGAATGTCTTTTTACCTAAGTCCTGCCTAATTAATAAATGATAGTAGTAGCTAAGATGTAAGGATCAGAAACTATAATTAGTGCTTTATCCTCATTTTATTGTTGTTTAATCCTCACATTAACCCTTTGATAATACTTAAGTATATTATCCTCTCTTACCTTCCTATTTTTTTCTCAGATAAAAAATTCAACCAGATAGTAGGTAACTCATTAACTTGCCTGTGGGAAGAAAGCTAGTAATACACAGAGTCAAGATGTAAGCTCAGACATGTCTTGATATCTCTCAAATATCATTGCAGAAGTTCACAAATTCTATTCAAACATTCTTTTTTAACCCCCAAGAGTGACTTTCAATATTCAGAAGTATGAGATGGCCACCAATGAAGCAACTGTCACCCTCTTGAAGGCCGGCAGCAACAGAGATGACTGAAATAGTGATGATCATAACCACCTCACTTACGGCCTTTTGATGTGTTTCATGGGCCCTAATACTGCCTATTTAAACTGAGACTATTAAGAATAAAAATGCAAGATCCTTATCTTACCCTATTCTGTAAAACTTGAGTCTTACCAAGAGTTTGCTTATTTTAGGATGAGAGACTATTATTATATGTGTATTAAAGTGTCTTGTTAATATATTCTTCTGAGTTCAAAATAGCAGTAATTTCCATATTACCAGCTCCCAGACTCAAACATTACTATTTCATGCCAAAAAAGAACAGGAAAATCCCCTTTCCCAGATTAAAACAAACAAGAATTCCTCCCATTCTTCCTAGAGTCTTAAATCCCCAGTATCTTATTATTCTTGGTTCATTCTCACTTCCCAATTTATGTTCAGGAATTCCATGTTGTTGGTTTTGTTTGTTTTTTTGCTTCTTACTTTGTTTTTCAGAGAAGTACTGGTGATAAGGAAGGCTGGGAGAGAAAGAAGATACTGTATGTCTGCAAGTTTGCTGAAGGTAAATGAAGCACACTGCCTTGTCTCCACCTCTGCAACCTTTTAATAGCTCTCTCACCTTCTTTTTCACCCCTTGACATTTCACAGCTCATTGTCCTGAACACCCAGAAAATCCTGTGGTGAATTTAAGATGAATAATCTTGTCTCATTTTTTAAATCCCCAACATCCAACAACAGAACATATGTTTGGGCTTAGCCTTTTAATTCCTGATTTTTTTTTTTTTTTTTTTTTTTTTTTTTTTTTTTTTTTTTTTGGTATCGGGGTTTGAACTCATGAGCTCACACTTGCCAGACAGGTGCTTATGCCACTGAGCTAAATCCCCAGCCTGGGCTTAGCCTTTTGAAATGGCTAAGTCTAGAATGGAAAATGGCAGACATACATGTATTAGATTTCTCATATATGAGACAAAATACCTAATAACCACAATAATATATAGCTGGAATGGCTTAATTTGCTTCTGTGGGTTTCAATCCACAATCGACTAGCTCTAAGGCAACACCATTATTATGGTTTAGATCTAAAATGTTCCCCAAAAGTCTTATGTTAAGAGGTGGGTTGGGTTCAGGTTCTGCAATTTTTTCTGTAGTATGTTTCAGTTATATATTCCTTAAGGGCCATTCTGGAGTCCTAACATATATGAATGTTTCTGTACTGTAGTGCACATACTATAGTCTACATGCCCCTTTACAAAGCAGACAAACTTAACCCTTAGTGGCTGTGAGTGTTAGATGCTAACTCCAACTGCTGCCTTTTGTGGAGAACTGCATTTTGTAGAAAAGTTTCCATGCCTGACAGATTATCATGTAACACCTCCACTCCATACAAAACTCTGAGACTTGTAGCCAGTGACTGGTAATCAAGGTACAAGATACAAGGGTGCCTCACTTTAAGAATGATCAATATTTTTGGTGCAAATTCTACCCCAGAGCAACTGCTGAAATCATGTTAAAGCTGTTTTCCAGTTGGCTTAGTTTTAGCCTTTCCCTCTTCTGCTTTGTTGGGAGCCCTTGAAACTGGAAATCGAACACAGGTGCAGGGGTGCAGCATGGCTGGGGCAAGATAACAGCTGAGGACACCTGGCTCCAACTCCAGTTAAAAAAATAAAAACTGTAGCCCCTGTAGGGAAAAGAGACTTGGAGATCTTCTCCCCAAATACTTCTCCTTGTTAACATAATTTGTTACTTGCAAAGTCCTTGAACCACTCCCAAGGTCTGTTCAGTTTCCTGCCTTGTCTGAAAAAAAATAATAAGTATAGACTGCCCAGATGCCCAGAGGCATCTCCTGTCTTAAGCCACCAGAATCCCAAACTCTGCAGAGGGTTTTGATCCTCATAGAGCCCTAAAATCATTCCACTTATTTATGTTAAGCCTTTGCCATACACTCATTTGGGAGATTGGGGATCTAGGTCACATCCCCAATACTGCTTCTCTTACTTCCCTCACTGAGAACCATGGCTCCTCCATACTTCTAAAGAACCTTCTCTAATACTCATATGTATGTTTGTTAAAAGTCTATGTAAAAAAAACCTTCTGTGTGCTCTCACTACAAGCAGAGCAGTAGTATTCATCTCTGGGAATGTCAGGAGCCACTTAAGGTACAACTGGACAAGGCCTTCAAATAAAATTTGGACCTATGTCCAAAGTTAACAGGAGGCCCAGTTTATTCCTAATGTAGCCTATCTGGCTGATACCAATGTATCACATTCTGTCTAATTAGAAAGCAAGATGCGTATGTTAATACCTCGTTGTAATTATTCCCACTATGAATATGAACAATTCTTCTGATTACTAGAAAGCTATATAGTGCTTGTTAAAAATTTGCTTAGATTAAAATAATTTTGTGTGATAGTTGATCAATTGTGTCAGCTTGAGTCAGTAATACCCAACTTGATTGGCTCAGTTTAGTTGTGTTTGTGGAAGATCTGCCATAGGAAGGATTCTTGCCAGAATGCTACAAAAGGGAAATGAAAAAGGGAAGGTTGTTTCTGTCTTCTTCTGAGGATCTCCAATCTTTGCTTTCACTTAGATCATCATCTCCTGGCTTCTAGCAGCAACTATTCAGCCTCCCACCACAGACCCTTCTGCTTCCTGATACAGACTCGCAAGGGGCACTACACATAGCACCAGGTCTTCAACTGGATCCTTCAGTCTCTAGTGTGCAGACAGACCCTCTGCACTCTTCCACACCTGTCTCTGTGGGCAGCTATTATAAGCCAATCTTGTAAAGTCTTATATATTTGTATACATTGTACTATATGTGTTTTTCTAGTTAGCACTGACTGATACATTATTCTTATTGTGATAACTTGAATTTTAATGGTTGTTTTACTTCTGTTAACTGTAAGTTCTTTGATATTGAAGATAGTCAAAGAGGGGCTGGGGGCTTAGCTCAGCGGCATAAACACTTGCCTTGCAAGTGTGAGGTCATGAGTTTGATGCCCAGTACAAAAAAAGGTCAAAGAATGAGCCTAATGTAAGATACCTATTAGAAGACCCTAGAAGTGTTAAAAAAGTCTGACCATATTACCAGTTTGCAAATAACAAGAATATACACTAAGTTAATTCTGTAGTGATTCAAAGATGTAATATGATATTATAAACATCAGCCAAAGTATTTCAGAAATGTACGGGTACTGGCTAAAAGTGATATTAAGATTGAAAAAGTGCAGGTCAAAATGAATAGATTTTAAAATTACACATTTCCAAAAATAAAAATTTTGTAATACCAGGTCTCTCATTCAATTTTTTCCTCCAATATACATATCCTATTGTATAGGCCCTTGGAGAGACACCCACACTATTCTCAGTTAACTAAATCCATTCTTCTGGCTCACAATACTGAACAAACACAATAATTTTATTGAAATTATTCTCTCAAATAATTTCTACCTAAAAAAAAAACCCCATAATATCTGAAAACTCATTTTTTAGTTTATTTTGAAACAGTCCTTTTGGTATTACCTCTTTTAATTATATTTGACTCTTTTAGTTATTTGCATATTTATTTATATATCATAGCTTATTTAAATTCTTTTGCTTTGTTATTTAGTAAAATATAATGATCATCTCCATATCCCAGAAAAAAATCAGATTATGGAGGGAAGATCATTTAAGTAATGTTTTTGTTATTGTAACTGAAAATTTCTTTTCATAAGAAAATACTAGTGCATTAAAAATTCCTGTGGGTCTGAGAAATGTTGATTGGTTCTAGAAAACCTTATATTAGTAAAAATATACAATATTTTTACTGTGATACTAGAAAAATATACTTAATAATAAGCATGTGTACTGAAGAGGAGATACAACTTTCCTAATTACTTGTAACAATAAAGTTACAAGTTCTATTGGTAAGAGCAATTGAAGAATGGTGGATTGTCCAATTCATTAAAATTTTGGAAGTACTTAAACAATAAAATGTACAGAACTAAAGAAGGGAACAGTATATCTTTCCTTTTCAAATATGAGAAAATTATCTGAGGACAAATATGTAAATGTTATGACAGTTATTTTCTATGCTATTTCTCAAAATTTTGCCTGTTATTAACCCTTAAGAGATTCTAGGGCTGAGAGTTTAGCTCAGTAGTGCAAGCACCTGCCTGGCAAGGGCGAGATCATGAGTTTGATCCCCAGTACCAAATAAATAAATAAATGTTTCTATGATTTTATGTAATTAATATCACAACCAATTTCTTTCTTTTCTTTCTTTTTTTTTTTTTTTTTTTTTGTCTTTTTTGAGACAGGGTTTCACTATGCAGTTCAGGCTGACCCTGAGCTCACTTTGTAGCCCAGGCTGGTTTTGAACTTGCAATGATCCGCCTGGATTACAGGCATGAGTCACCACCCCCAACTTTAATTTCTAATCAAAAGCATTTTCTATCACATATCTTTCAAATTTCATCAGTTGCACTACAGAAATGATTCAGAGTTTCAGTGTCACTTTGTTTCATCTAGAATTACCATTTTTTCTGACCTAGTTAAAAGTTGCTCTTCTAGAAGCTCAGGTCAAATGTTGCTGTGAAATCTTCGCAAACCTTTCTCACAAGCAGAATTTGTTCCTTTCTTTAATGTGCATTATTCTTTATCCTATTTCTTTCAGACCTTGTATCTCGCTATATTACAATTATATTTTATATCAGTAGGCTATCATTAAGAAACTCATTAACTTTCTATAACATGAAAGAAATCCAAAGGAAAGCAGTTAATGTTGTCAAAGTAGTTCCTTTCCTTTTTGTTCTATATCTTCCAAGTTCAAACTCTGCTTTTCTAGCTCAGGCTTCCCATAGTATAACAAAATAATTTGCTGTAACTCCAGACATCACATCAATGTCCTAATCAAGGGTAAATAAATGGCAATGCAAAATGTTCTCTCAGCAGTCTCTACTCAGCCAATCCCTGCCATGCACGAACACATATACACACAGCTATGCACAGAATTATGATACTTTCTAAGAAGTCCCGCTCAACCTCTATCCAGATGTCAATGTCCTATATTTAGTCTATGTGCTCCCTTATATGAAAAAAAGTTGGAAATTTAAGGTTTTATCTTCCTCCTGGATACATAGCCATCCTCAATAAAATCAGGTCTTTGTTACTCAAAAACAGCAGGTAGAAAGGATATATAATATGTATTTAGCAGCCTCTGCCACATTTTCCCTACCACATCTCTTTTCTTATCTATGTTGTAATATCCTGAGAGATTTAGAGTATGTGCCATCCATTTTATATTTCTAGGGTTTAGCACAGTACATGATATACAGGTTTTAACTGTTATTTCTTTCTTCCTTTTATGAAGGGCTATTCCACGTAATCTGTATAGAAAAAATCCATGTTTTGCAAGTATAAAACTATGTGTTTTATGCTGATTTTATCATGTGTTTGATTATTTAAGAAAAAAATTTTATCACTTATGAAAAATGATAATAGTTATCAATCATCATGTAACCTATGTTAATTTATGTTATTTATTATTATAGTTCACCGTCATTGTTGATAATCATGTAATTTATGTTTATTTTTCAATATTTTGTTGCTTTCAAGTGAGTTTCCAACTATTGATTTACATGAATATTCTAATTGCTCAAGTACATAGATGACTTTTTCCTTAAGATTGAATCCTAAATGTAAACTGAAATAAAATAACTTTCAAGATATTCTTTGCTACTAAAATAAGTGTAAATTTTTTGGCTTTATTATTCATAATTGCATGGGAAGAGTCGTTCAATTGGAAGTGATGTTAAATAAGTCTTGCCTAGGTTAAATTTCTATGGCCAAAATGTTATTAATATAAATATTTCAGATATTGCTGTGTGTGAAGGACCTACACATTTCTCAGTGTTTTTATTCTGCGTGTCTCTGAATCCTGGTGGTGCTTTGCCTGAGGATATTAGGCAACTGCAGCAGAATGTTATCAGTTATACTTTTAGATACTAGTTTAAATGTTTACTTGGCCAGAAACTTCTTATGCATTTGACTCTAGTATCTTTTAAGTCAGTAGTTTTCAATTAGAGATGCATACTAGATTTCTATATAAAGTTTAATTAAAATTCAGAATTTATTGGACCTGTTCCAGATTTGCCTAATCTCTTTGCTTGATATTTGTCAGTATACTATATCTTCTTCCTATATGTTTGATCTATTCGTGGCATAGTATATACATTATGTTTCTGTATCATTATATGTTACATCTCGTTTTTTATTTATAAAAATTGTGTTCACCCTTTCTTTTTGTAAATCATATATAACATTTGTTGTCTTCATTGGAAATGAACTAATTATTGTCTTTAGATATTTTATCAAAAATGTGAATTGGCTTTATTATTGGTATCGTCTCTAATGTTTCACATTCTGGTCCATTAAGTTGTCCTCTAGGGAAAATAATCAGTACATAATTTGTCAGTAGGTAAATTAAGAAAAAGGAAACTCTGATTCAAGAACTAAAACATTGGGTTGTCTCAAATTTTTTCTTTATTTGATAAAATGAGAAGTTGAAAGTGTTGGGTTTTCCTCTGAGTATTTTTAAAAATTATTCATCCAAGACTGGAACAGCTTGCTTAGAATAAAGGGAACAGAGGAATAGTAAGAGTAAAGAACAGTATGTGACACCTAGTAAGTTGATTTAAGATGAACAAGTTCCTTATTTTCGACTGAGGAACGTGGGTGTTCACGGAGTAATAGTGGGAATTCGTAAGTTTCCCTCCCAGTCAGGGAAGGTTTCACCTAGGAGGTAGCTTCTAATCTGGGGCTTCAAGGATTAGCAGGAGGGAAATGGCAAGGCATTCCAAGCATACTATGAGCTGGTGAAAACACAGAGCACAAAAGATCACTACATGTCCTGCAGCTGTAAGTAGCCTGGTGGCTGGAGAGAAGCATTCTTCAGGTGAATTGAGGTAGGGACTATTTTTTTCCACTAGGCTAGTTACTTTTTTAGTTCACTGCACAGTGCTGGGCACACACGCTGCAAAAGTTCAATAAATAGTTGATTGAGGCAGGGCGATAGAGTGTACTAGGAATAAGACCATCTGGATTTTTCTAACACACCGCAGTATGACCCTGGAAAACTCTCTTTTCTCCGTGGTTGCTGTTTAGTAACCAGGTGCGAGTAGAAAAGCGGGAGAGGAACTTGGCTTGCGATATCAGCCCTTACAAAGCCCAGAACCCCTCATTGGAAGGCGGTTGCCGGCCATGCGGCGCTGCAGCCTCAGTTCCTCCTCCGGTCCAGCAGGGGGCAGACGGAGCGGCTTCGCACTGCCCTTGGTCTCAAGGCAGAGGTCCTGCTGACTGCGGTAGTCGCGAGCTGCGAAAGCAGTGGGCGGCGCCCGCTGGTGCAGGAGGTGGCGTAGCGCTGACTGGCTGGGCCAGTCGGCTGCGGCACAGGCTGCAGAGACACTGAGCCGAAAGCTGGGTGGCCGGCGGGCTGCTATCCCCTGGAGCAGCCTCTTCGCGCGACCCCGCACTCCCTTAACAACCGTGGGCCACGACATTTGGTACACCAGTAAACTGCAGTGGGCGCAACCCTTTGAGCAGCAGCGCTCTCGGACAGGTTAGATTGGGCGCAGGGGCAGGGCAGGCGAGGGAGCCGACTAAGGCCACAGAAAGAGCTCAAATCAGGCCATCTCCAACAATGTCCGACGAGGCGTCTGCCACCACTTCCTATGAGAAGTTTCTAACCCCGGAAGAACCTTTCCCGCTCCTGGGACCCCCTCGTGGGGTGGGCACCTGCCCCAGCGAGGAGCCAGGCTGCCTGGACATCAGTGATTTCGGCTGCCAGCTCTCCTCCTGCCATCGTACTGATCCGCTTCACCGCTTCCACACCAACAGGTATGAACCGCCGGGGAGGACTTTGCACACCCACGCCTGGGGCTGTAGAACGCCACGCGATGCGCCCCAGCCTCTGTCCTGGAACCTCGGCCCCTTCCCCCACCTCCCTTTGGCTAGAGCTCATTCCTGGGCTGCTTCCCCCGCTCCTCCCAATTTTCACGCTCTGATTTTCCTTCTATTGGCGTTTTTACTCGCGTTTTTCCCCTTTATTGATCTACTTAACAGCGGTTCCTGTCTTCCTATCTTGTCCTTTTCCCCCATGCCTCCCCTCACCTGTACCCTGAGAATCCAAAACCACCACCTTTGAATTTTAGATGCTCTGCTCTTCCCATACACCTGCAAAAGTTTAACCCCTTCCATTTTCGGCACGCTATTCTGTGGATTTCCGGTGGCTCAGAATCAATCCAGGTCTTTGGGAAGGTAGCACTTTTAAAACTAGGCCTTCCCTTTCCCAATTTTTAACATGTTTCACACTTCTATCCCTCCCCCAATTTTTTGGTTTGTTTTGTTTTATAGCGGAGCGCTTGAAAACTCATGGGTCCTTTTTTTTTGTTTTGTTTTTCCCCCTCCTTCATTTATTAAATGAACACTGGTTTAGCCCTTTAGACCTTGCCAAAATGTGTAAGCTTGAACATGGAAGATTCCTTCCTGTAAAGTCCTCTGACTTGCCGCATTCCAGGTGGTGATAGGGATCAGAGCAAGATTTAAAATGAGCTTGTTTACACAGATTTATCAGAGGATGCCTCTTCTAACCGGTTTCATTGAAGGACAGTTTTCTGGAGAATTCTCTGATGCAAGCATTTAAGTTTTATGCCAAATGTCCTGGGGGATTTGAAGACATTTAAGGTGTAGGGTAAACTTTTAATATAGGTAGGTATTTAAGATACATATACGAAGGGCTGGGCGAATATGTAGTTAAGAGACTAGGAATGGTGCTTCATCTATGGAAATACTAGAAATAAGGAGTCTAGTTCTGATTTCTGATCCAAATTTACTATATGAGTTTTATCAAATCATTCCACATTTTTGTGTCTTGCCTCCCTCCCTTAAATCAAGCTACATTTCCTTGGTTCTTAAGGAAGATACATATAACCTGATTCTTACCTAACAGTTATAGTCTGTGGAAAAAGATACTTTTGTTTAATATGTTCACATCATTGTAACACATTTCAAAAGGAAGTAGCAGTAAGTTTCCTACTATTCCATATCCTCATTACAAAAATGAAACTGAGGACCAAAGAGAAAAGACTGCATTGAAGATCATACAACCTATTACAAAGGCCTAGCCCGACCTAGACTACACTTTGGAGCCAGTGATTGAACAACCAATGTTATTAATGCTCCTTTTGTTTTTTTGACTAACAGAAGCCTACATATGTAGTATTTAAGTCATGATGTAATTAACATGAATGTGACTTGAATGAAGTCAAGTGTGTTCAAGGTTATTTGGATTGAAAAATAATATAAAAGAATACCTCTGCATATACGTGGCATTTAGGTTTTATAGAATTGGAGCAAGACACATAAAGTTAAATGACTTTAGAATTGTTCTGATATTGAGGGCAAGGAAATGGGGAGAAATCGAGGTTAAGCATTGCCAAAAGGAATGGTGGTAATTTGGAATTAGAGTTTATTCTGATCTTTCTCCTCTGCCCCATTTTTTCCTTTAATTTCTTCTCCTTAAAGATTGGTAAAATCAAAGTGGTTTCCCAGAATAGGACAGGAAGGGTAGAAGAGGAAGTTCTTGTTAAGCCCCCGTTTTTCCAAGTGAAACATTATTTTTCCTAGTTACTCCCTGCTTTTTAAAACCCTTTTTAAACGCTGCTTTTCACAAGGCTTGGAATGGGATCAGTAGGTATCTTTTCAGCAGAAAACTGAATTGGCAATATTTACAGTAGATGATGTTTTCTAGACCTCCTTTTAAAAAATTGTTTTCTCCTCCTGTATTCTGCCTTTTTATACCTTTGCAAGATAGTGTTTTAGAGAACTGTATGCTTTAAGCCATTTCTTTTCAGGGAGGAGCAGACAGCTAAATGGAGGTAGTTAATTTAGGGGCTTATTTTGGGGTTGTATATGGGGGTTGTATATGTCATTTTTTCTTCACATCACATCATTTGCCAGTTCAAGCAGCAATCTAAAAATCAGGTATGAGTAGTTGAATAATAAAATTTTGCTTTGTGTTTACTCATTATAAAACAAATTTTATTGAGAGTAGAAAGGTTATTACTGGGTATATATACAGTATTTGGTTTACTTTTATGTATTTCAGTTCATTTTTGTTACCAGATAAGAAAACAGGAAGATTGTTTAAATATTGCCATTGATTTAAGCCTTGTGATGATGACAATTTTGTGCCTGCTTATTTGCTGAATTCTGGGCTACATTTGCAGTCTTTCTTAACCAAGAAAGCTACAGTACTAATACTAATGGTCTCTGGTTGAATTCATGTAATGTTCACATTAGAACTAACTGCCACATAGATGGAGGTTCAGTAGAAAATAAATTACATGGACCTAACCAGCTGTTTTCAGACAATGTCTTGCTGTGCCACACTGACTTTGAACTTACTATATATAGCACAGGCTTGCCTGGAACTTGTGATCCTCTGGCCTCAGCCCACCAGAGTGCTTGTATTGTAGATATGTACAGTTCTGCCCAATCCAGCTACATAACCAATTTTTAAAGAATTCATAGTTGGGCCGGGAATTTAGCATACTTGCCTGCCTGGCAAGTGTGAGGTTGTGAGTTTGATCCCTGGTACCAAAAAAAAAAAAAAATTCATACACTTTTCAGCTTAATGAGGTGGCACACACTTGTAGTCCCAGCACCAGCTACTAGAGGCTGAGGGAGGAGGATTGCTTGAGCTGAGGAGTTAGTCGAGGCAACATAGTGAGAAACTGTTTTGAAAAAAGAAAAAAAATCAGGTTTTACTATAGATGTCTTTTAAAATTTTATTACCTAGTTGATTTTGTCTAGAATGTTAGAAATACAGAATAAGTTAAGATGAAAATTAATACATTTGAGTGTATAAGTCCTTGTTTTTGGATTTGGGGACAGGATTTTTCTGATATAAATGGAGGTTTTCTCAGCACTTCCATCAGGGGTTAGTTTGTACACTTGCCATGTCTACTGCAATCATTACCACCACCAAAAAGAGATGACATTTTGCAAATTGCAAAATTCTGATGACGTTGATAGGTCCTATGATTAAATTGTGAGATGGAAGATGTTAATATTAACTACCAGATGTCTTACTCTCTTCATATTTCAGGAGTGCCTCAGTACCTTGACATTAAACAACTGAAAAGTATGTGGGAGGACAGTGCCTTACTTTTTTATACCCTATTGTCAGGGTATGAAATAAACTGTTGAAGAAATCAGTTACTCAATGCTCAATCGTCATTCACCAGAAAAATCCGAGGACCATTCTGTCAGTGTGTGTATGTATGTTTATCACAGCAGGAATCAGGGAAGCATGTTAACCACTAAGCTATCTCTCCAGCTTTTGTTCTTTATCTTTTTGTACCATCTACATTTTTTCCTTATGCAGGTATAGAACTGCACGTACAGAAGAGCTGTGGGTTTCAGGTCAGAGAACCGTTCTGAAGAAATCTGGTTTAGGGACTTGTTGAAGAAAGTTAAGAATTGGTGTTGAGGCTTTGGAGAAATTCTCAGGCTAGAAATACAGATTTGGAGCCAGGTGTGGTGGAGCACACTTATAATCCCTGAATTTTGGGACTCTGAGGCAGGAAAATGGCTAGTTTGAGCCCAGTCTGGACAATTTAGTGATTTAGTAAGATCTCTCTCAAAAGTGAAGGGGGAAGGATGCTAGACATGAAAGGACACTGTGGTGAAGAACTCAGAACCCTAATTGGGAAAATTAGCCTTAGAAATGACATAAAACATTTCTTTACTTCCGAAACGGTATGGGAGGTAGAAAAGGTGGGTAATGATCTCAAGACAAATGAAATGCCTGGGAGAACAATAGAGAATTTAGGTGGGTTGTCAGGGCATATCATGTGCTTTGTGATGAAACCTTGAGGATTTGCCTACTGGACTCTACAGGAGGTCTGGGTGGCTGTATGGGGATTCCAGTAAGAAGTCAGTGATGAATGCAAGTTATGACTGGGTCAGCCCCCTAACAATCATATAGCATGGATTTGGAATGACTTCCATCAGCTTAAAGGTTATGACTTTCTTCAGAAGTGCTCATTGCCTGGATTCTCATCCTGAGATGCAATTATTAGGTCCAGTTGTAATAGGAAGGAGCTGCAGAGAAATGTGTACATCATGCTCATGCTGTTCTTAATTTTAACAGTAAAGTGGCTACTTGTCAAAATACCACTGAAAGTCCTTAAGGAGTTCTTCCTAAAAAGCCTTGCAAGGAAATATCTGCTTTACTTTTTAAGTTAAAATTTAGGCAACAAGCCTACTTATTATTGAATTAAATACCATTCCAGTTGGGGTTCTGGTTAATATTTTTTTTTTAAGGTTTTGGAGAATTTCCTTTTAAGAGTAATGTTACAATTAGAGTTAGAATTTTAGTGTTTTAAGAGATGGTTTTCTTTTACTGGAATAAGATGCAAGTACTTGTAAATTTGGGTTTTTTAAAAAAAATTTTTTATTAGTACCTGTTTGTAGTACGTAATGGTTACATTGCTGGTGGGAGGTTAACACATCCTGATTCTTCAGTGCTGAGCATACATTGGATGGATATTCATTGATGGTTTGAAACTGTAAGAACTATCTAGTAAAAGAATCACCCTTAAATCATTCACTATAGAAAATAGGTATATAAACTACACAGATCACGCATGATTCATTTTCTTAGAGGTAATAACTATCAACATTTTGTATTTCTTTACTGTTCTATGCAGAGATACAGGTTGAATATCTCTTATCTAAAATGTTTGCGACTAGAGGTGTTTCACAATTAAGATTTGTTTTTTGAATTTTAGAATATTTGCATCTACATAATGTCTTGGGGATATGATCTAAGTCTAGATATAAAATTCATTTATAGGTCATATATACCTTATCCAAATGACATGAAGGTAATTTTCTGTAATATTTTTAGTGTGCCTGTATTTGCCTACAGCCCATCACATGAGGTCAGAGTGGAATTTTCCATTTGTATTAAGTTACCATTTCTTGATTTTGGAACAGTTCAAATTTTGGATTTTTGAAAGAGGAATTCTCAAACTGTATAATTTTTAAAAATCAAGATTGTTTAAAAACCAAGATATTTGTGGTCTGCTTTTTTCACTTAACATTATTGAATACTTTGCACTAGTCTGAAAATTAGATTTTAGTGGTAATAAAGTACCATTATTGAGATATATGATTTAATTATTTCCCATGTTTGGTGGTCATTTAATTTCCTTTTTTTGTTATTTATAAATAATATTGTTTGGACATGTTTCTACTTGCATCATTATTTTCATCTATGTATTTGGGGAAAGGAACAGATTTCTTAGAAAAGAAATTTCTGAGTTCAAGATAATGATCATTTTTAAGCTCTTGGTATACTTATACTACCAAATTGCTTTGCAAAAAGATTACCTACTTACACCTATTAGAAATGGACAAAAGTATTTCTTACCTTGTTTTTATCCATACTACCTTAAAGTAATAAACATTTTATTTGCAAATTAGAAGATACAGAACTTTTAAAAATCTTTTAAAATGAAAGTAGTTTTTCTAATTTGTTTCAACTGTGAGCCTAGTTTATTTGCCACTAATTATAAAAGAGAGAATGTAAAAACTTCTGAAAACATCAAGAACCTTCTTACGTAGTCATGAATCTGAAAAACTGAGGAGCATGCTAATTTTACCCTAAGGTAAAGGCAAGTTTTCAACTCTTGCTAATGCTTAATTATTAAACATGATGTACTTTGATAAAAGGAATGTCATTGTTTCTCATGAAGGAAATACATTTCCAATGAGCTTTTGCAGGCTGAAAAGAAATTCTAATTAAAAGCAGTTATCTAACAGCTTTTCAACCACTCTTGGCACATAGAAAGTACTGACTCAATATTTGCTGAATGGGTGAATAAACAAAGGAGAAAAGTCATGTGAAATTTGAAGACTCAAGAGAAAAAATAGTTTGTTCTAGACGTAGTGTGGTTTACTGTGTTCGGAACAAAATTTATGGTTGATGTTTAGAGCTTTTATTATAAAACCTGGCCAATTTAACTTATTCTACTAGATTTATTCATTTTTTTCAAAATGAAGATACTGCCTCCCTCTTCCAAGCATGTGATAAAACCAAGTAATACTAAAAGTATGCTGGAATTCTGAGATGAATTTTTGATTCATAAAAATGTATTGACATCTTTTTTATTTACTGAACCGTAAAATAGTTTAGTGTGTGTTTCAGTGCTTTAAAATGGTGTCCCTTTAACTCAAAGGGGAAGATACCACTAAATTTTTCAAGTTGCCCATATATTATGTTATTAAATTCTGAATATAAGAGTACCACAAAAAATAAGTAAAGAAATTTAAAAAATACGTAACTTAAGAAAACCTGGATTTGATAAAGGATGAGGAGCAACAGAGTAATAGGTAAATAATAGGATTGTTTTGGAGAATTCATTATTTCAGTAGCTTATAAATTGCATGCACTGTAAACGTACTAATAAAAAATGAAAATAGGAAGCTAAAAAAGGCACAAAATCATTATCTTTAGGATTAACTCCTAAAGATAATACCTATGCTACTGGTAAAGCAATAAAAATTACATCATTAATAGATAAAATTAGTAGAAATAAAAATTGATAGATTTCAAGACCAAAAGTAAAATCCTCAAATCTCCTGTAACAAATCCTGTGAAATGTTAATATGCTTAATGCATGAACTCATAAAAAATAAAACAATACATTGAAGAACAATATAGCAAAATTAGCCAATTACATATATTAAAGATTCATCTTGCTAGTAATCACAAAAATAAATAACTGGTCATGGGTGGTGGCACACACCTCTACTCCCAGAACTTGGGAGGCTGAGGCAGGAGGATCACTATGAGTTCATGGCATGCTTGAGCAACATAGTGAGTTCGAGGTCAGCCTATATGACAAAGTGAGACTCAGTCCCAAAATAAATAAATAAGCAAACATTTTTATTTTAGGAGATAGGCTAATTTTTTAAAATAAAATTTTAAGTGCTATTAATGTTTTTGTGAGATGAACTGTTGTTTTTGTTTGTGATGCTGGGGATTAATCACAGGGCCTTGTACTTGCAAGGCAGGTATTGTAACAATAAGATATACATACAATCTGAGAGAAACATTTTTATAAAATTTTAGAAAGTATTTGACTAATCTGTGCAAATGGTGCACATTTATAATCCTGACATTTAAGAGGCTGAGGCAGGAGGATGGTAAAATTGACCCCATTTTGGCAACTTAGTGATAACTTGCTTTAAAAAAAAACATAAAAAAGGGCTGGGAATATAGCTCAGTGTGAAGGCTTGAGGTACAATCCCCAGTATCTCTCTCTCTCTCTCTCTCTCTCTCTCTCTCTCTCACACACACACACACACACACACACACACACATAGTAACATAAAAATAAAAAGGAGGTATCTGACAATATACCAAGATCTTTGGAAGTTTTCATACTTTTTGACTCAGTATTTAATCTATCCTTAAAGAATTTATATTTTGAATAATAATTATAAATAGAAAGATCATCATACTATTATGTGTAATACAAAATAGTAGAAACAGCTTACATTATCTGTTGTCGGGGGAAAAGTTAAATATATTTTGATACATTCAACAGATAGAATGTTATATAGGTATTAAAATGTTTTCAAGTAATGCACAGGTCAGGCATTCAAAATCTGAAATGTTTTGAATGTCAACTTGACACCACAAGTGGAAAATCCCATTTTGACCTTACTTTATAAATTGTAGTCAGAATTCATATGCACTAAAAATATTATATAAAATTACCTCCAGGCTTTGTGTATAAGGTGCATATGAAACATACCTGAATTTTGTATTTGGACTTGGGTCTCACCCTAAAGATATCTCATGTATTTGCAAATATTCCAAAATTTAAAAAATCTTAATTGTGAAACACTTTTAATCCTAAGCACTTCAGATGAGGAATAGTCAACTTACACTTAAGAAACTGTTCATTATATAATGTTGAATGAAAAATCAGTATACAGGGCCAGGGATTTAGCTCCGTAGCTCAAGTGCTTGCCTGTTAAGTGTGAGTTTTTTGAGTTCGATCCCTGATACCAAAAAAAGAAAAAAAATTAGAATACGAAAATAAATGCACTCAAAATGATTGACTTTTCTGTAAAAAATATGTATGCCTAAGGAAAGAAGTGAACCAAAATATTATGGGGAAGTAATTGGCAAATAATAGCATTATTGGTCATTTTAATCTTCACACCTTTCTCATTCTAGCATTTCTTTAATGAACAAGTATAATATTACTGTTATAAAAGTTATTTAAATCTATAGACTACTTCTTGAATTTGTAGCAGGGTTAGAGTTAGGGTTAGGGTTCGAATGCTTTTTTCTCTGCCCTGAAATGGCTCCTCTCATTCTTTAATTTAATATTAACCACTATGTATTGAGTACCTTTTATATAGGCTGAGTTTTCTGTATGTATATGATCTTTACAATGACTCCATTTTAACCTCTTCAAGCCTATGTTCCCATCTTTAAAATGGAGTCATTGTAAAGATCATATACATACAGAAAACTCAGCCTATATAAAAGGTACTCAATACATAGTGGTTAATATTAAATTAAAAAATGAGAGGAGCCATTTCAGGGCAGAGAAAAAAGCATTCGAACCCTAACCCTAACTCTAACCCTGCTACAAATTCAAGAAGGACGGGAACATAGGCTTGAAGAGGTTAGGATTTGCTTAAGATCAAGTAACTAGCAAATGACAGAGCAGAAATTTGAACTTGGTCTGGCACCAGAATTTACTTAGCCACTATGCTATATATTTTGTTTAAGGATGAAAATTCTAATCTATTCCTAATTTAAATGTATCTTTCTTTTAAGACTATAAAAAATTTGAGGTTGTTATGGTATTAAAAAGGATTATATAATGAACCTTGTGTAACCACCTCCCAGTTTCAGTTGTTTACGGTTATGTCATCATGCTTTATACCTCAATCCATTGCCCAGCCCCTTATTATTTTGATGGGAGCATATGCATTTTATTCATTAAAATTTTAATATATTCTTTAAAAATAATGGCAATGGCTTTTTAAAAATAATCTATATTTCTCATAAATGTCATAAATATGTATTAACATCTTTAAATTGTGTGAATTCTGTAGTTCATGTTATGATGTCTTCTGTGTTGTGTTTTTGAAGGTGGAACCTAACTTCTTGTGGAACAAGTGTTGCCAGCTCAGAATGCAGTGAGGAACTGTTTTCATCAGTATCTGTTGGAGATCAAGATGATTGCTATTCTCTGTTAGATGATCAAGAATTCACTTCTTTTGATTTATTCCCTGAGGGTAGTGTCTGCAGCGATGTCTCTTCTTCTATCAGCACTTACTGGGATTGGTCAGATAGTGAGTTTGAATGGCAGGTAGGTTTTTTTCTTTTACTTACATCATTACTATATAAAGAAAAGTATGAATTTCTCCTTTAATATTTCCTCTCTACTTCACAATTTCTCTAGTATCTCCAGACTTGGAGATTCTTTGACAGTGTGTCTTAATGTTAATGATTAGACGAAATGTGTATTAGCAAAGATAGTGTATCTTTTCTGGTGCTATGGATATCCTTTTGTAGATTTTCTTTTACAAAATAATCAGTACTTTTTACCCATGTATCTAAACATATTCTTCCTACTTTGTAATAAGTAGCCTTTATGTCCTTAATAAGACACATATCTGGGTCATATTACATATTATATATAATACCATAAACCATTGTTACCACGAATACATAAGTTTTGGTTTTGTTATCAGAATTGTAGTGTCTCTTGTTTTATATGTAGAGATGTTTTCACCTACTGTTTTTTCTTCTCATGGCATATATACTACCTAAAATGACCTTGTAGAAAATTGTTTGAAAATGCTGCATTATAATGAATGTTATCAGAAAATGTAGATCATATCATTACAGCATCTACTTTCTGGTTGTAAAAGACAAGAATACTTAACAGAAGCTTTCCTTCTGTACAGCAAGTATTTTATTCAACAGCTAAACTTTAATACTTAAAGTGTTTGAAAGCCATACTTGAAGTTGTACTAAAAGAGAATCAAATAATAGTTTTGTTTTTATTAAAATATCAAAAATTTCATTTTTTTAAAGTGCCAATATTGAATAGCATGAAATTGAAACTAACATTTCCAAAACCACTCTACTGTGATTACCACTGTTAAGGGTTTATATAGATATGTTTGTTTGCATGTATAAATAGGATCATATTTCATCCACTGTTTAGCCCTGTGCTTTTTTAAAACTAATATATGTTTTTTTATAGATGTATAATTTATTTAATTAGTTTCCAAATGGGGTTTTATATTGGCTTTATTTTTTGTTATAAACAATGCTACACTGAAATGAGTCTTTAAAAAGAAAAAAATCATGACCCATTTTTATGTTTTGTACTATTTTAAATTTTGTGTTATGTATAGTTTCACTTGGATGACATTTTATGATTTTTAAAGTAAAATTTACCATCTTAAGCATTATAAAATTTACAATTCAGAGATTAAGATAGTAATAGTTTTATATAAACCTCGTCACTAATTCTAAGATACTTGTCACTCCTAAAAGAACCCCATACCTGTAAACACATAGTCCCTTTTTCCTTCTGCTCCTATCACTTACTAACAACCAGTCTACATTCTCCATAGATTTATCATTCTGGATATTTTATGTAAATGGCTCTTATAATATGTGATCCTTTGGATCTGGCTTATCTCACTTGGCATAATGTTTTTTGGTTATTGTTGTTGTTGTTTTGTTTAGGAAAGCTGTTACTCTTATTATTTATCACTTAGGTTTATTTCATTCGTAATGACAGCCATTCCTTTTCTTGAGGGGGGAAATCGAACTCAGGACCTCATGCTTGCCAGGCAGGCCCTGTGCTGCTGAGTTATATCCCCAGCCCTGCATAATGTTTTTAAGGTTTATCCACATTGTAATATGCAATAGTCCTTTGTTCCTTTGTATGGATGAATTATATTCCACTATGTGGACAAAACTACATTTTGTTTATCTACTCATAAGCTGATGGACATTTATGTAATTTTCACTTTTTCACCATTTTTAGTAATTTGTTTTGGATATTCACTTATGAGTTTTCTTATGAATGCATATTTTTAATTCTCTTTGCTATATCTCAGGATTGGAATCCTAGCTCATATGATAACTTGTGATTAATTTTTTGAGGGACTGTCAGTGTATTTTCCAAAGTGGCTGTACCATTTTACATTTTTTTCCATCGATGTATGAAAGTTTTTATTTCTCTGCATCCTTGCCTGCACTTCATGATTATAGCTATCCTACTGGGTGTGAAGTAGTATCTGTCTCACTTTAATGTTGGTTTGTAGTTCTCTTATGACTAGTGGTGTTGAATATCTTTTTATGTGCTTATTGACAATTTGCATATCTTAATTTGATAAGCAACTATTTAAATCTTTTGCCTACTTTGTAATTGTGTTCTTTTTAATTGTAGTCAGTCTTTCTATAATCTATCTTGTAACCCTTTTTCAGATGTATGATGATGTACGAAAATCCACTTTCCCATCCCATGGATTGCCTTTTCACTTGAAAGTATCTTTTAACATCCAAGTGTTTCTCATTTTGAAAAATCCAATTTGTCTACTTTTTCTTCATTGTACTTATGCTATCACAATTTAAAAAACATGGTCTAAGTCAGGATAATGAAGATTTTCACCTATTTCCTTCTCAGTTTTTCGTTTTTACATGTAGGCCTTTGATGCATTTTGTGTTACTTTTTGTTTACAATGTGAGATGGGATTGTACAAATTTGTTCCGTTGAATGTGGATATCTAATTTTTGAAGCAGCATTTGTTGAAAAACTTTTTTTCTTCACTGAATATCTTGGCACCTTGTTGAATATGGTTTTATTTTTAAACTCTCAGTTCTACTCCTTAGTATGTGTGTTCTTCCTTATGCCAGTATAACACTTTAATTATAGTTTTGCAGTAAATTGTGAAACTGGAAAGTATGAGTTCTCCTACCTTTCTTTTATAAATGTTTTTGGGCTTTTTGGGGGGAGGGTCTTGCAATTCTGTATGAATTTTGATTGGATTGTTTATGTCTGCAAAAGGTCATTGGAATATTGATTGAAATTGCATTGACTCTGAATTGCTTTGGGGAATATGCCATTTTAACAATATTAAATACTCCAACTCATGCAAATGAGATGAATAGGTTTTATGCATCTTTAATCTATTTCAGTGATATTTTGCATTGTTTAGTGTCAGAGGCTTCTTTCTTCATTCTGTCAAGAAAATTGAGTAAATTTCTATCTACTAATAGAATTAGGAGTGTTGCAGTAATTGATTTTCATATATTTAACCACCCTTGAATTCCTGGAATAAGTCCTACCTAGTCATAGTATTTAATCCTTCTGTTTCATAGAATTTTGATAAGGAATTTTGCTTCTATATTATAAGAGATACTGGTCTCTGATTTTCTTATTTGGCTTTGGTATCACGGTACTATTGGCCTCATAGAGTTAGGAAGTGTTCCTCCTGTAGACAAAATTTTGTAATGAAAAACATGATCTGCATAATATATCTTAATGATTGCATAACGTTCCTGCTATTGGAAGTGCCACATCTTGAGAAACCATTGTCTTAGTAACGTCTTTTTCAAGCTTTTTCCTATTCTAGGTAACAACAGTGATTATTTTTGTATACATAGCTTTTTATTCTTTAGTACCTCATTTTTCTAAGTGTACGTGTTTAAATCAGACTGTGGGAATTCTTAATAAAGTGTAATGAGAGTCCTGATGATTCTAAGAAATATTGTATTTTTGGCATATTTTCCATGATTTATTTAGAGTACTTACCTATATTGTTACAAGGTGGCAGACTTTTTAACTTTTAATTGCTGACTTCTTCACTTACTTTATGAGTTGTTAGTGTGGAAAACCATCCCCACCACTCACTATTAATGTATATATATGACTACGACAGTGGAACAACAGTTGGCCTGCCTTCATAACATGCTTTCTCACTTATAAAATTGGAGTATGGGTACACTGCTACCATGGATACTTTTAAATATACAGAAAGTTAAAAAATGCTGTCTTGCTTTTGTGGGACATTTTAATGATGAACAGTAATTAAGAGGATAATTAAAAATTACATGTTTGGATTAATAGAGAGTAAAAATCAGTCACTATAGTGGAAATGTTCCTATCACCTGTTTTGTGATTAAAAACTGCAACTGTTTAAAATTTTTAATAGATGTTTCAGTTACTACTAGAGTAAATATAAATGTTTCATAGAATCTCTGGGAAGAACGATACTAATCAGGCATGATTTTAACCTTAGAATGAAGAATCTTCATAACATTTCAAGTAGAATCAAAGTGTTTTGCTTTGCTGATAGTTTTCTTTGCTTGCAGTTCTCTTTTATTATTAAAGGTGTGTTTGACTAGTTGTAGAGCTTGAGAATTATTTCTCTTGTTGAGTAGGAAAGCTTAGAAAATTTAAAGAGTAATTCAGCTGTCACGTTTCAAACCTAGAGGTGCAATCTGAAATTATACATAATGTGTTATACCAATGAGCTTATGCATAAAATTCTACATACTGCAAAAAATATGGTGGAGCTTTGATATAATTTTCCCTATGTGTCACAATTACTGGTTATAAACCAAGTATACTAAATGCTGTCCCTGAAAAATACATGATGGGACCCATTAAGCATTTTTATTCTGAAATGCATTATCAACTATGAAATGGAAAATTGCTGGTCTAATAAATATACAGGAGTCTATGCAATTAATTCTGCCGTACAACTGCTGCTTAAGTCCCATACATTCAATTTACTAACATTTCCACTAGGATGACTGTATTATTTACTGCTTTATCCTCTTGTCTGGTATTGAGTTTTTGTTCAGTGATGCCACTTTCAGTATAGCATTTTCACTTAAGAAAATAGATCCTGCCTTGTGACACGTTTTCCAGCATAGTGAAAAATGATTACATCTTCCTTATCGCTTTAGGCTGCCCATATCCCACATTGCATTCTTCTCTCATTCCAAACTGTGTCCAAAGGAAGACTGCTTGTATAGTTAAAAGCACTGAACTTGGGTCCTGTTTTACATTGTCACTGGTTGTATGACCTTGAGACATCATTTTTTCTTTTTCCCTATTTTTGTAAAATTAAGCTGCTAAACTAGAAGATTAGTAACATTACTTCAGTTCTCTTCATATAACCATTGAAAATATTAATTAATATCATCCTGGGTGGGTTATATTACCACAAAATATTGTCACTTTGCCTCAACATCTGACTGCTTATTAACCATTCAGTTATGAAATAGTTTTGCAAATTATTTTTCATTCAAAAATGTTCATATGTTCCCATTTTCCTTTCAGTTTTTGCTTATTTTAGTCCAGGCTTTGATCAAAACAGTGATCAAGTATCCTAATTCAAATCTTCCATCATTGTTTTATTTCCATAGTGGTTTTTAACTGATTTTCCCCCAGAGGCCAGTTTATCAAGTTTTTCTGCTTGCAAAATGTCATGGTACCACTTCTGTATGTCATATGACAATGTTTGGCTCCTCTGTTGAACTTCAAAACTACCTCTGATGTTCTATTGTAATTCTGTTGTTTTTTTTTACTTTATCTTGTTTTTTTATCTGTGACTTAAATTATTCTCCTTCCTTGAATGCCTTTAATGCCTTTAATCCCCATCCACCATTTGACATTGTCTAAGGGTTTATGCTACATTTTTTTAATGGTCCAGATCCATGGTAAGGGATAGAAAAAAGAAAAATTCATACCTTTTTATTGAGTGTCATCTATGTGTCAACATTTTATCTCATTTATATGCCTTTTATCCACCTTTTGAAATCAATGGCTATTAACTACTTTTTATTGGAGACTGATTCTATTTTACTTTTCCCGGAAAAAAATAGACAAAGGATCATTAATTTCATTTCTAAATCCCCTCACCCTCTGAGAACTAAAGTTACAAATTTAAGTGTCTACCATATAACTTAGCACCTAGCAGATATTATGTAAAGAATATCTCTAAAGCTTTTGATGAATATTTTTGTTGTTTTGAAAGTATATGTTGTTTTTATTTTGTTTTGTTTTGTTTTCTCCTTTTTTCTCCTCTTTTCTTTTTGCCACCAAAGACTGGAAAACCAATTGCTTTCCAGTGTGCATTTGGCTATGATACTTTTACAACATTGAATCAATAATATTAGGGCTAAGAATGAACAATTCAAATATCATCAGTTAATGAGATTTTTTACAAGAAATCATACAGATTGTTAGAAATTACTTGCACATTTGGATTCGTCAATGATTATCATAGTGAAGATGTGGTTTTTAAGAGTAATAGCTACTTGTAGAGATATAGAAATAATGGTCTCTAATTTAGACAACTTACTTTTGAATTTTATGGTCATCCTGTATAATAATTGATCCTGGGGATTTTTTTCAGTCTTTGAGACAGGGTTTGAGACAGACCTTGAACTTACTTTGTAGCCCCATCTGACCTTAAACTTACAATGATCCTCTTGCCTCAGCTTCCCATCTTCTGAGATTACAAGTGTGTGCCACCATGCCCAGCCTTTGATCTTGTTTTTGTGGCATCATTCATCCCTTTTATATTACTGACTCCCTGGTGCCTACCTAATCCCTGTAGCTCTTTCATACTTTAATCCTGCAACTTTAACCCATTGCCAAATACTTATGTCAGTAACCTGTCATCTCAGACTTACCAATTGTCATGTACTATATTGTATAATAGTATGTGTGTATTTTTGTGTTGCCTTCCCAAGTGGAATATGAAGTTTTTGTGTAAGGCCTATGAGTTACACTCCTTTGACCTCTGTGTCTATTGTCAAATATATATGATTTCAATAATTTTAGTGGCTAAGAGCTTTTTTGTCTGGTTAACTTCAAAAACCTAAGAAAATTATCCAGACTTCAGATATGTAGTTTGAGCTATGCAGAACAACAAAAAAAAAAGGCACTACTTTGTACTTCATAAACACTGTTGTGCTTTATATCTAAACGACCCTCCAAAGCCTCATGTACTGAAAACTAAGACTTTTGGGAAGTGATTGGCTCATTGGGTGGGGGGATGATACTCATCAGTAGATTAACTTTATATTTTCTCATTTTCTTTTATAATCTTCTGATCTTTGAAGTGTTTTATATCAATAGTATGTTTTCAATTGTTTTAATTGTCTTGAGGTTAGTAACCATTGATGACTTTATAGCTAAATGTGATGTTGGAAAGTGAAGCCTGGTTGCAGGAGGTGGGTTACTGGTGGTGTAGACCAGAAGGGTCTGTGTTCTTCCTTCCTCCATTGATCACTCTCTGCTTCTGCTGTGCCAAGCCCTGAATGGCTTTCCTCTGTCTTAGCCCTCCAAATCTTATGCTTTCATAGATGGGACTTTTGGGAGGTAATTGGATCTTGCAGGCATGATGCTTAACAGTGATTAGTTTATGGCTGGATGTGATGTTGAGAGGTTAGGTATGGTCTGGGAAGGTGAGTCACAGTGGACATGGCCTGGTCTAGCTCCTTCCCTCCTCCCTTGCTCTTTCTCTCTGCTTCTGGTCACTGTACCATGAGCAGTTCCTCCTCTGCCATGTTCCTCAGCCATGCTGCCTTGCCTTGGAGCCAACTGACTATGTACTGAAGCTTCTGCAAACTGTGAGCCAAAATAAACCTTTCCTGCTTACAGTTGTAGGTGTCAAATATTGTATCTCAGTGATGAGAAAGTAACTAAGACAAACATGGCAGCTGTATCTTTGAAAGCTGTTAAGTGCTCCTTTAGAAGAAAAGATTTTTTGTAATTAATATCTTAAATATATTTATTTAAATTACAGTCTATTCTAAATTTTTTTTGGTCTTTTTTCCTTTTCATTGGTACTGGAGATCGAACTCATGACTGCCTGCTTGCAAGGCAGGTGCTTATGCCGCTGAGCTAAATCCCCAGCCTATTCTAAATTTTGGAAGTGATGGCTATTATTTTACTATTCTCTCATTGCTGAGACAAAATACCCCATACCTTAAATTGAAGGTGGAAAGGTTTATTTAGTTCATAGTTTGTAGAGGTTTTAGTCCATGATCATCTGGTTCCAGGGCAGGGTGGCATATGGCATGGGGTAACAGTTCATGGAGGCAGAAGACACCAAAAGCAACAACAGAGAAGAGAGATATAAGACTCTTTGTTCTTTATATTTTATGCAGGCTACCCGCTCTAAGGCAGATATAGCAGTCACACTCTTAATCCCAGCATTAAATCATGAATTAATCACAAACTCTAGATTTAACCGCTTCTGAAAAGCTTGACTGTCTTTACTGCAAGAGGCTTTAGGGGTACATCCAGATACAACTCACAACAATTATGCTCCTCACTTTAATTATGGTTGTAAATTCATAAGTGTTTGCATATGTCCAAAGACATCAGCTTTCAAACATTAAAGATGTGGGTTTTTTTTATCAGGTATATGTCAATAAAGCTTTTAAAAATGAAATCCATTCACTTTTTAAGTAGACAATATAAAATTGCATGTATTGCTGTTTGTCTCATTTTGAACTGGTTTGATTTTCTGTTAGGCTTGTTTTTATTTCCTCATTTTCTTTTATAATCTTCTGATCTTTGAAGTGTTTTATATCAACAGTATGTTTTCAATTGTTTTAATTGTCTTGAGGTTAGTAACCAACTTGAAGACTAGCACCATGATGTGTTTGTCTCTATGTTGGCAGTATATCTAGCACAGGCAAAAAACTAGATAATGGCATATCATTCAGGTCTCTCAACATAAGAGACCAGTACTTCTTTGTCATTATGCTCTGTGGGCCTGGTTTTTGGCACTACAAATTAAAAACCTTATAAAGATTATCTCTTAAATAGCTTTTTAACAGATCATACATGGTTGTGCATGCCTGTAAATCTACTGAGAAACTGAGAACACAAGTACTAACCCAGACTAGGCAATTTAGTGACTTAGTGACTTGTTTCAAAAGTAAATCAGACACAAGCTGAGATAACTGCAAGGCTTTTCTTATATGAGAAACACAAAATATAAAGAACAAAATAAAAAATAATAAGATGTAGAGAGATAGATTTTGTTTAAATAGGAAGGGGATCAAGAGATGGAAAGCAGAAGGAGGGGAGGGAAAAGGGAAAAAAACAGTTGAGATGTTTCATGTACATGTACCAACTCTGCATAAGGAGTGTAATCATTATGTAATGTAGTATGTACTAATAAAAATAAAACTTTTTTAAAAAGGGGGCAGGATGTAAGTTAGCGCAAACACTCTGGTTCTAATCCCCAAGACTGCGAAAAGTCTTGATTTTTTATATTAAGTTTTTGGAAAACATATTTTATTGAATAAGTGAATATATAAAAGGAAGAGATTGATGCTGCTTTATATATAAAATGAGATGGGTCAGAATTAGTATCTTTTGATTCTGTATTTGCCATTAGTTTTATATTAAATTAACTTTTTAAGCAATGTGTGAAATATATCATGGTATTTAAAATGTATTTTTAAAACTTTTGCTTTTCTTACCCTTTTCTCCCCTTATTTTTTCATAAAGTTGCCAGGCAGTGACATTGCTAGTGGGAGTGATGTGCTTTCTGATGTCATACCAAGTATTCCGAGTTCACCTTGCCTGCTTCCTAAAAAGAAAAACAAGCACCAGAATTTAGATGAGCTTCCTTGGAGTGCAATGACAAATGATGAGCAGGTAAAGATAATGTACATTCTTAAATAAAAGCATCTATGTGGCAACTGAGGATGTAGCTCAGTGGTAGAGCCTACCAGCACAAAGCCCTGAATTTGATCCCCAATACCTTCCCCAATGGAAAAGGAGAGTGTGAAGCACAGTTTATTACCTGTATAAATCCAGAGTAAATGTGGATTGCTTAGTAATTCTGTTTTAACTATTTTTCAGGAAATGGGTAACAGTGTTAAATACTTCTGATAAGTAAAACATAATTTACATCCTGAAAGATTAGAGATATTGATATTTTTGTTTCAATTTTTCATTATATAGGTGGAATATATTGAATATCTGAGTCGTAAAGTCAGTACTGAGATGGGTCTTCGGGAGCAACTTGATATTATTAAAATCATTGATCCTTCTGCTCAAATCTCCCCTACAGACAGTGAGTTTATTATTGAACTTAACTGTCTTACAGATGAAAAACTGAAACAGGTATGTACAGTAAATGCATAGTATATGCCTACTGGAAATTATCATATGCTATAAAATGTAAACTTGAGTGATATGTATGTACATAGAGAATTAGAATAAAATCACTATTCACTATTGTGAGTACAGTATTTGCAAAAATGATGGTAGACATGGGGAGTGTAACTTGGTGATAGGACATTTACTTAGCATTCATGAGGCCCTGAGTTTGCCTATCAACGTTGAGAGATAGGGAGAGATATCAAGGTAATATTTGAGAGTCCATTGTTTCAAGAATTTTTATGTACATTTCACTTGGCATTACAGTACCTTCCTTGTCAGTGTGGATCTAGAACTTGCTCTTCAGTTGTATAGGCTTTGAAACTGTCACTTAAGGAGTGATTAGACTAAGATACAGATTTATTGTGATTAAATTTATAAAAGACAAATGGACAGAATTGAAATATTGTACTAATAAATCAGAACTATATTTTTATGAACATCTGAGGTTACTTGATAAATCTTACGAAGTACTTGAGTTTGGCAAGGGTAAAACCTATTGAATTTTCACTTTGCTATTCAGATTGCTATTCATATTTGATATACACATTTCTGATATTTGCTAACTATGGTTTTGGCTGGTATCTTTTTCTTGGTATATACCTAAATGAGTACCTGTGGTTTTATGTTCTACCTTAGCTTTGTTTTACATTTATCATTTATGACCATTTTCTCTGATTTCTCTGATTTTCTCTGATTTCTCAACATACATAGACTAGTTTTCTACATGCCAACCCATTTTTCATTAATGTGGTATGTTGATGCTTTGCATTTGAAGACAGGTACCTTTGGCTTCTAACTAAAATTTAGGGAAAAAATCCAACCATAGATATAATCATTAATTTATTTAAATCATCTTAAGTAGAGACTTCTAACAAATACTTCATTTCACCTCTTTTATTTTGTTGTTTCTATTTCCACATATTCTTGTAGTCTAAATCTGGTGTTTGTTTCTAAATTTAGGTTTGTTTTGCCTTTTCATTCTACCTCATTTGTACATCTGCTTTACTTTTGACAAAATCTTTTGAATTAAGGACAATATAATTTTTTTCTCTCCAGCATCTTAAGGCTAGAACATCAAGGTACAACAGTAACCAGATTTTGTCCCTGTGTCCCAAGGTCAGAAACTATATCAAGGAGCATAGTCCTCGTCAACGACCTGCAAGAGAGGCCTGGAAGAGAAGCAACTTCAGTTGTGCAAGCACCAGTGGAGTGAGTGGTGCCAGTGCCAGTGCCAGCAGCAGCAGTGCCAGCATGGTCAGTTCTGCAAGCAGCAGTGGGTCCAGTGTTGGAAACTCTGCTTCAAACTCCAGTGCCAACATGAGTCGAGCACACAGTGACAGCAACCTGTCTACAAGTGCAGCAGAGCGGATTCGAGATTCAAAAGTAAAATGTCTAATCAGAGCTTTATCTTTCAGTACTAACATTTGTATTCTTTCATTTAAATTTCTTGAAGAGTAAAAATTGTCCTGCTATTTAGATTCCTGTGGGTTTTGGGTTTAATTGAATAAGCAGGATTCTGTGCTGATGAACAAAGTACTCTAGGTTGAGAGCTTTAAAGTACTCTTGACCTACAACGATATTGCATTCAATATTATCTGATTTTTGTGTCTTTCACTGTATAACTCTCAAGCTAGCAATACTGACTGCAACTCACTGCTGAGTAAATCTTGCTGTGTTGCTGATGTTGCTGTCTGTTAGCTCTTAAAAGTGTTGTATATTTTGTGTGTGTTCCCTTGATGTTTTAATCTTGAAGGCTGCTTGATAGCTAGTTCAAAAATGTAATGTTGCATTATGTAATTTCTGTACTTTTTCACAGTTAACAGTACTATACTGTACGGTACTTAAAAAAAAAAACAAGTTATAAGTGTATATAGAACAGTCCTATGGCTTAGCAAATGCTTTCTATTCCATACATTGACAATTTAAAGAGAAAAAGAGAATCTCTTTAGGAATGTAGTAGTGACTTGAAGAAACTCAGGGATTCTTCTTCCCTGGGTTTTAGTACAGTAGCAGAAGCATAGCCAGCTTTGTTGGCTGCTGAGGGATTTCTCTAGATATGTGGTCATTCCTCAGTTTACCAGTGATGATGATTGAAGAATCTACTATAATTCTAATGAAATACACATGCTTTTTTCCCAGTCACTTAAAAGTTGTTAGTACTGTTGGGTACTAATATAAGCATTAGAGATTTGGGCAGTATCTTCTACTTTTTCTGTGTCATGTTGTCTCATTAAATTTATTTTTACTACAATGACATCAGTGTACCTTAATTTGGTTTAAATATAAGACTTCAAAGGGATCAGCTATCCATAGCTAATTAAAATGATCAAGTACGGCGACTGGTCAGAAAAATCACTCGTCATACATCATAAAAATGGAATCTTGAATCATTTTCAAATCAAAGCCACTGACTAACTTACTGTCATGAGAATCATACTGTAGAGGAATTTGAACAGGTCTTAAAATTTAGAAAATTCAGAATTTGATTCACTTGGGTGTGGATATACTCATGAATAAGCTTTACTGATCAAAAATCTTTTACTTTGACAGAAGCGATCCAAGCAGCGGAAATTACAGCAGAAGGCCTTCCGCAAGAGGCAGCTGAAGGAGCAGAGGCAGGCCCGGAAAGAGAGGCTGAGTGGGCTCTTCCTCAATGAAGAGGTGCTGTCCTTGAAAGTGACTGAGGAAGACCATGAAGCAGATGTTGATGTTTTGATGTAATAAGGATTAATTTATCACCATTCTTTCTAAGCATTAGTCTATCCTTATTGGTTTACATGCATCTTGACCAAAATTTTGGTTAGGGCTTTGCTGATGTACCATTAATTATTTAGACTAGTGGTTGTCAGAGGGTGGTTCCAGAACCTGCAACTTCAATGTCACATGAAAAATTGTTAGGAATGTGTACTGTGGAGACACATTCCAGATTTAGTGAATCAGAAACACCAGACGAGGAATACAACAATTTTATGTTAACCAGTGCCAGGTTATTCTGATACATATTCTTGCTTAAGAACTACTGGTTTAATTTTTTGGCTGTTGAAATCTTATGGTGATTAAGTGGGCTTTTTAAAAGACTAGTACTTCTACAGTTTAGGAGATATTCAAGGTACTGCTGACTTGTAGTTTATTATGTCAGTGTGAGTGTGTGTGTGTAAGAGAGAGAGAGAGAGACAGACAGATCGAGATCATAATTCAGTTCTTAATGTTATAGTTCCTTAGTTTACTTTTTCTAAAGGGCCATAGCATAATTCTCACTGGTAGAAATCTTTTTTGAGACAGAATGAGGGTTATACATATGCGAGGTATGGATTGCTGTTTACAATAGTGCCTTCATTAGGTTTAGTTTTGTTTGCATTCATTATTAATTCAAATGAATAAGAATAGGCTGTAATCTTTTTTCCAGTTCGACTTGTTTTTCTTTTTGTTTCTACTTTATGTGAAATCAATCCTTTCTATAAGTGATGACTACTGAGAAAATAATATTACTAGTGTCTAAATTTTAGGCTTATGCTGTTTTGATTAGTATTCAAATAGAGAAGTCATGTAGGCAAAGCAGTCAATTCTACTTTTCTATTGCTTTCTGAAATTTTAGGCTATTATCTCAAAGATAGAAAATTTCAATCTCTCCCTCTCTCCCTCTCTCTTCCCTTCCTAACCTTCCTCCTTGTCTTCCTGGCTCCCTTATTCTTTTTCCTATTCTTATTCCAGCACAGCTTTAATTTTTAAATACTTAGTATAACATGTTTAAGGATGTGAAGAAGTTAGTGTTCAGAGTTAACCAACAATACTTTTAGGATCCTGCTGAAATTCTCTGTAAATTTCTCTAAGTATACAGAGGAGTGAAAAATATAAAAGACACCTTACGAATTTTTAATGAAACTGATTTTAATTGTGAAATTGTGAAACTTCTTTAAGTGTTTTTCACAGCTTGTTAATTTAGAAATAGTGATTCCTTTTCTTCTACCACATCTTTAGACATACACATGAGTTGAAGATGTAAATTGATACTACTGACAATCAAGCTGCTTTGTGACATTCATAAGTTTTGCTTTTATTGTGGGATAAAGTTTAGGAGGTAATCATGGTTCTGTAGGAAGAGTTGTAGTCAGTATTTTTTTAAATTCTAGAATCCAGAAGTTACATTGATTTCTACTTTTTAAAAAAAATCATTCACTTGTTAAAAACATTAACTATTTAAACTCTTGTTTGATAGAAAATTTTAAACTTTGCTTACAATCAGGTATGTGTAAATTTTGATTTCATTTCAGTTCCTGGAAGGTTTAAGAACTGAAACTGAGGACAGAAATACATTGCTGCTTAGCTTAGGTTTGTGGTATGGTTGTAACCTTTTGAAGACTACTAAAGCCAGAATTTAAAGTTTTATTAAAATAAAAGTAAAAGCTTTGTGTTTTTCAGCTGTTTTGGCTTTCCTTCTGTCCCCTCTTTGCTATTCCTGGCCAGCTTAGATGGCTGAAAAAGAGTTTGGGATAGACCCCAGAATATTCAGAGGAAGGCGGATAGAGTCAACCTTGTTTTGATTTTTGAGTATAGTAAGAGCTCAAAGGGAAAGAAGTAAAAATACATCTGAATTCTCTGCCTGCTTTTAGCAAAAGCAAAGTCCCTCAAAGTGATTGCCTCCTCTCTTTACCTATTTTTCAAATAAAATAAGCCACATTTGGAGACTGCAGCATAGCATTTTTATCTCTCAAATACTTAGAATTTTTTTACTTGACAGTGATCAGTAAAAGGAAATCCTAAACAGGATTGTAATGTACTGTCATTTAAAACCAATTCCTCTATTCTCCCAACAATCACAGTCTTACTACCTTACATTTAACTTAAGTTACTATTGAACAAGTTTACCAAAGTGCCACAAAGCATATTTTGAAATTGGCAAAGGTTCTGTTGCTCATAGAAGTGTGACATGAAATTTTGTATAAATTTGGGTGCACTACAGTTTTACAGTTGTGTAAATTAGAGCCAGCCTATAAAATTAATTTGGAGGTAATTGGAGAAAATTCTTTTGGTTAAAAGAATAAAATCAAGCAATTTGGGTTTGTTTATGATCTAAGAGAGAGATTCAAAAGTCTTAATCCCTCCAACAAAGAAATTAGCACAAAGAGGCATCAACAGAAACATGTTTTGTCTTCTGCTATGATTTTTATGTGCATTAATGCCTCATAAGTTTGATGGATCATTTTTGGAGTAAGTAGTAGTTTATTCAATCTGCTATCTCTGAGTTTCTTTTAAATCCAGCTCAGTATTTTCCTTTTTAGATATAAACCAAAAATTAACCAATTAATAAAAAGGCAAGTAGTATTTGCCCTGCATTGATTCCCATCTGTAGAGAACTAGCATTGGGACAAATAAGTCTCTTTAAAAATAAACCTTGTTAACTGAAGTCGTGATAAAGTCTCCTTAATTTTATATAGAGACCTCTTATTAGAGGTCTTTTAATAGTATGTCAGCCCCTACCATAGCTTTTAGAAGTATAACCTGCAGTTAAATAATATGCCATGTATTTTTCTACAGTTTTGCAACTGATAAAAGCAAGGCCGTTTACTATAATGTATATTGGGATATATAAAGGGCCAGCATGTTTGGTCTCAACAAGAATTTAAAGTAAAGTAATACTTTGTTTGAAATGAAATTTATTGAATGCCAGCCATTTAGTCCAGTTCATTTGTCCCTTGGATAAATTAGACATTCCTAAATGAATCCCAGAAAGTGACATATAAAACAGTGACTCTATTATAGATTGGATGGACAACTAATTTTATTTAGTTTTTAAAAGTGCTAAATCCCTTCATAAAGGATAAATTACAAGAAATTATTGTATAAAGGTATCTAGGATGAGCTTTAAAACTTGTAAAATTTATCATATATCTTTGTATTTAAGCCAAAAAGGTTAGTACATAAACAGTATAGAAGTTTGGTTTGTTTTAATGTTTTTTGGTAGACTCTTTGTTCATGGTTTACTCTCTGTAGCCTCATGTGCCTTAATGGTGGTGAACTGTGTACTTTTCTGTGAATGTCAGGTTTTTCAAAATTTAAAAATAATCTGAATGTTAAAATTTGTTTTGTGGAATGCCTATGGTGTTTGGATATCAGTAAACAAAACCATTAAATTAAGAATAATAGAGTATCAAAACATAAACCTTAAGATCCTTAATTTAATTTGCATTCCATTCCTTTGATAATCTTTTAGCTCTTCTATTTTCAAGAAGATGGTTATTTGGAATTGATGGGGGCTACTTAAAGTCAGTTTATAGCTTGGGGTATTTGATAGTAAAAATTTCAATTGCATTAAATAGTAGTGTTGATGATGAGTTCACTGACATTCAACATGTTTAATTAGAAGTAAAATTAATCCCAAAAAGGACTATTAGGAAATATTTGTATGCACGTGTACTGTGGTAACTGGATTAGTTTTAAGTCAGATAATCTAAGATAAATTTTATCTTAAAAATGAAGTGGGTATAATAAAAGTGGATAAGAATCACCTGAGAGATATTTTGAGCTAGGCATCTCTGTTAGCATAGTATCTGGAAAATATTCCTTACAATCTTTGTCTTATTTCATTGGAACATAAATTTACTTCATTGTGGAAGCATATTTGACCTCCTAACTGGCTATTAAGATTAAGGAAGTTGCATGGTATAGCTGAAGATCTGAACTGACTCACTAAAATTTTATTTTTAAATATTAAAATTACTGTATTTTTTCATCTCCCTCTATCTTTTAAAGTATGTTTAAATTACATTTTAATTTAATGTTTATGCCAGACTCAGAAACATTGGTTTGGTTTTCACTGTATTTAATATGTAATACTTTTTCTTTACTGTCAGATTTCTTCTGTTACAGGTTTGTGATCAGTAGAGCCTGTGGAAATATATATTCTTTTTTGTAGTGAGAGAAAGGGGTGAAAAAAAAGAGAACTGATTGATTTGATTATGTAAAGTTAATAAAATTAATCATTTTACAATTTGCCTATGTAAAATTGACAAGTTAATGCCTACTATTCAAGGAACAGTGCCCTGTAGCCATGACTAGTTTTGTAGAGCTGCTTCCTCTCTTATAGTAGCTGACCTCTTGGATTAAAATTGACACTTTAGAGTTAGGTTAATCAGGCTGAGGCTTTTAAGAAAGGAGCAAATAATATCTGTTCATGTAGTAGGTGAATTTTATTTCCTGTGTACTTTTATTTAGAAATAAGTACTATCCATTCTAAATCTGTGTTGGAAATATAATAGAACTGCTATCAAAGAGATAATAACAGTAAATGCAAGTATATGTAAAACATTTCAAAACTGGTTAAAAATTTCAAATCATTGGAGGGTTTTTTGTCTGTTTTTTAGTTTCAAAGATTAGTTATGTAGCATCAATATCATAACCAAAGCAAGTAGGAAGTTAAGTGGTTTGGAGAGTCAAGTAGTTTTAAATACTGTAATAGATCATTAACCAGGATTTTTCCTGTATTTCTGCTAAATGTATTACTATATTAATGCACTTTTGAATATATAACTGTCTTCTGTATATTCTGTACTTACTACAGTGTATATAAAGCCTGTTTTTCCTGAATTTGTGAGGGAATAACAATCGTAACACAGCTTCTTTGTATTTTGAGTTCCTTCTTGTACTTGAAAGTAGATAAATTTAAATATGTATGTATGGTTGTAATTAAAACTGGCTGCGTGGCAGAGCTAATTGAATATCAGGACGAGAAGTGTGATTTTAGTTATTAAGAACTCATACCATTTTTATTGTTCTTTTGTTGTACCTCAAGTTTCTACAAACCTCACTGCTGCTTACTTCTTTATACTTCTTAATGAGCTCCTTTCATGCTTCATCCTAGACTGTTTACCAGCAGAGAAAAGTTAACCTCTTTTCTTTTGCTCAGTTTGGTTAGGATTTCATAAACTTTTGAATTTTGTTTTATTGTGTTTATTTGAGAGCCTCAATTCCCATGTCATTGGCAGAATGTTTTTTTCTGAGAGATCAGATTTCAAGAGATTTATATTCATAATAAATGAAAGCTAGGCATTATTTTTGTTGATAAAAAGAATTGATTTCCTTAAGATTTCTTAAAGATTACTCTAGAATCTTTTTCAATTAAGATTTTGTGAAAGAAATATCTGGCAGTTTAGTGTATATAGGAACAATTCAGCTGTTCAGCAGCAGCTTTGTCTCGCCACTAGAGGGAGGTCTGTGATTGTTCTCCCCTTTGAAAAAGGTTATAGCTGCTTTTTTTTTTTTTTTTTTTAGAAGTTAACAGATCTTTTTTCTCAAAATTCCTTTTGTGGTATTAAATATTTTCATTTAATAGTCAAAGGTTAATTAAGCTTGTTTAATGAAGCCAGTCTTATGCTTTTCTGTATCCTTCAATTTTTAATAAATGTGAATTAGATATCAAGTGAAATTGTGTCTAATGTGTGTGTATGTTTTAAGGTATTGAGATCTAAGTCACAGCCTCACACTTACCTTGTAGACAGTTGTGTGATTGGGCTATATGCCGTGCCCCTAATGTGTATTTCTTTTGAATATTCTACAGTTATATTGTTCTTATAGTAGCCACTAGTCACATGTAGCTACTTTATTGTAAACCCAAGTAAGAGAATTCATTCATCCAAATATTGTAATCCTTTTAGTTTTCCTCACAATTCACAAAGTTACATTTGTAATTCCATTGAGACATTATTGGAGTCCCAGAAAATTAATTTCAATCTAAAACCACCAATGCAACCCAAGGTGAGTGTAAAGATAACAAAGACATACAGTTAAGGGCAGCCAAATCCTTGTGGAGGACATGCAAAGACCTTGATCCTAGGCCTCTCTCAGAATTTATTGTCTTGTGAAGAAGCATGGTGGCTCAGAGATAAGTGACAGTGATGATGGTGGAATTACCTGGTAACTTGAGCTGGCTGGCCAAGTGCAAGATTGGCATCTCTGTAAATTGCAGAGATTAAGATATGAGGAAGGATCAATTTACATAATCCAATTAAGGTAGCAGTGGAGTTGTTTGGGGGGGGTATCACTTTGGTTTCTGATATGTAAACTCTTGTGCCCTGGAAAGTCATAGCCTCTTACCTTGAGGCAATACCTAGTTGACATTGCAGGAGCTATTTGCTCTAACATCTTGCATGCTCATATGCGGTACATATCTGTATTGTATGGAGAACACTGCGAGGAAACAGGACTGTCTGTTGGGTACAGCACCGGGGCTAGCCTTATTTGCAGTGCTAAGACCAATTGAAGAGAGAAGGAAATATCCTTGCCAGCTCTTTACATATCAGTATAAGGAAATGAATCTCCAAAAAATCAAAGTCACAGTAATTGTTTTGCATTCAAAGGGAGTCACTGGAGTTGTGTCTCACATACTTAAATCATTTAAAATTAAATAAAACTTGAAATTTTGTTCCTGTGCATTAGTAGTGCTTCAAATGCTCAGTAGCCACATATGGTTGTCTAAAGGACAGTTTCTGTATTTAAAAAGCAGAGGAGATGAAACATTCCCGTTATCACTGAAAATTCGGTTGAATAGTACTGCTCTAGAAGCTTGATGGTTTGTGTAGTGGCTATTATCTTTATTTTACTAGAGAATAGGAATCAGTGGCTTCCCACACACAGTTATCTGTTGTAGGTGGCTTAAAAGGGATAGCAAACTATTTCTTTTTGTTCTTTGTTAAACCCACTGGCAAAGTTAGGAACTTGGTAACAATGGAGGAATTTCTCAAGTACTAATCATTTCAGTTGACTATGAAAAAGATTTACTGTGTAAATAATATGGGAAATTTGTTGCATTTTCTCAAGAGTGTGTGTGTGTGTGTGTGTGTGTGTGTGTGTTGGTGCTAGGGATTGACACAGTGTAGTGGATGCTGAGCACAAGATCTACCAATGAGCTGTACCTCAAGCCTCAGTTTCTCAGTTGTTACTGTAAAGAGTACTGTCCTCATGCAGTTTTCTCTATGTTCATCCTTTGATATAAAAACAGGTGTAAATGATATCTATAATGAAGAGGTGCGTACACACATTTTTAAAGACTAGTTTATTAAACTATAATTACAAATAAATAGAAGTATAGATTTCAGAAACTGCCTCAGGTTGTTTCTTCATTAATTCTTGTAGCGTGAGAACCACATCACTACTTGGATCTGCTAGTCTTGCACCCTCACACCATCAGCTTGGATCTCAGTAAATGGGATGTTTATATTATCCATGTTTCTTAGTAATAGATTGATAATAGGTAGAATATCATGTGAGTATATAATATGTTTAACATTCCACTGGTCACAAGGATCCTGTCAGACTTTTTACAGTTTTGTGTTTCTTATAAAAATACCAGATAACTGTGTTTATATGTTTTCAACTTTGTAATATTAAAAATTCAAGTAGGGAGAACAATAAAATGAATTTATATAAAAAATGAATTCACACATACCCACATGTACTTCAACTCTTCTCCACAGCACTCTTGTTTGTATTACCCTCACCACCTACTCCCTCACCTCACCTTATGATAGTAAAGCTAAACTTAGGTTACAGAATTTTATTTTGAAATATTTCAGTATGTAATTTTTGAAAGATAAGATAATCCTGTACTATATTTAATACCATCATACCTCCAAAACGGTTCCTCCAAAGATCATACCTCTCAAATGGTTCTTTAATATCAGTTTTGTTTATTTGATGTCAAAATCATAACTACTAGTGTATGTTTGTTTTTATTTTGGTACTGGGAATTGAATTCAGGTCCTTCTTTTTGCCAGTACTGTGTTGCTGAGCTACATCCCCAGCCTCTAATTGTGTTATTTCAAAATAATTCTATATTTTGCTGACATTAACATAGAATATTTTTATTATTGATTGGAAAGTCCTGATTGTGTTTTGAACACTTAACTCATTGGTTTTAGATTAAAATATCCATATTTTGTTACTAAAGCCATGGAATAACTTGGGTAGCTGGAGAAGGAATGGAAGCAAATGTGAAGTTGAAGCAAATACTTGGTGTTTCATCTGTCCTTGGGCCCAATAGTTATTTTAAGTCAAAATTGGCCTAAATGGCACAGCTTTTGATACATTTATAAAAATCTGCGAGCATATTATGGAGGGGATAAAAGGAAAAATAAAATTTTATCCCTTAAATATTTAAATGTTTTCTTAAAGATGTAACTGGTATTGGTTTTTGTTTTGTGTTTTACCAAAGTTATGCTTTCCAGTTAAATCATAGTTTGAGAGCTTGAAGGAATTTTGGAGATTATACAGTTTAATAGTTTCCAGCATTGAGTAGTGCATCAGAATTCCCAGGAAGCTAATGAAAGCACTGATAGTGGCTTTGGGGATCTGGAGATTTTGGGCTGGCTTGAAAAATTGCATTTTTAAGAACTTTCTATATGATGCTGGTGCTGCTTATCCATTGAACAAGTTCTGAGAACTATTGATGTAGTGCAGTCCCTTTTTCCTTTCATTTTGTAAATGAAGAAATTCACGCTAAAAGGAGAATAATTTCTTTGCCCAAGAACAGTTAGTATCACAACCAAATGTTATTTTTGTTTTTGTTTTTGTTTTTCAGGGCAGGGGACTTAATCCAGGACCTCATGCATGTTACCACTGAGCTACAGGCCCACCCTGAAATTCAAATCTTGAGAGTGCCTTTTCAAATTCCAAGTCCAGTACTTTTCTCATTATACATTTATTTCCTTCAGAATAGTTGGTTTTAAAAGTTTTTTTAATTTTCTCTTTTTGTTTGAATTCTCTAAATGGTATATTTTTATCTTTCTAGATCACAAGTTTTCTAATCTAGAGTCTAAGGATAAAAATTGTTCAAATTTTTGTTTGTGATGTGTTTTTCAGGCAAAATTCAATGTCATATCAAGGTCTCAAGTCACTTGCCTTTCACACAATAACAAAGACTCTTTCTAGGGCAACTTTGATATTTGGAAATAATTAAGGGTCATTTGATGGAGTCTGGTGGTTAAAGTGGATGAAAATCCTGGAAATCACTGGTTTTGGTCAATATGGTGGGATTTTTAAAGTAATGAGATTTTATGTATACACTAACAACTTGTTTTGATATCTAGTAAAGAAAAGTTTCTGAATTATTTTGACAAATATAATTAGTCTGGTTGAATCATGATGTCATGAAATATAAATATTATATCTGAGTTTTGGCCTAGATTTAAAAATAAGGGTTTTTATTCACAATTATATTCTAGAGAAATACCTTCCACTTATGCTTTAAAAATATTGGGTTAGGTATTATAGAATTGTTTATCAAATGATATATCAGAAATAGTTGATAAACTAGAAACTTGAGAACTACATGCTTTTTTATTTATTCATTATCTCCTTATTTAAAAGATGTGAAACTTCAGACTAGGAGAGGATTAAGTGTTTAGGTTATATTGTTGGATGATGACAAATTAAGGATAAAAATTCAAGTTGCTGGAGCTGTAGAGCTTTCTACTATATCACACTACTTGTTATTGTGCAACTACATTTCTTAGCATCTTGTACCTTTTTTGGTGGGGTAACTAGATATTGAACCCAAGTTCTTTGTACTGAGCTTCATTCCCAGGCATTTTTATTTTTTATTTTGATACAGGGTCATGCTTGAAATTGTGATCCTCCTATCCCAGCTTCCTAGAGTGTGGGGGATTATAGCCATGCACCACCAATGCTCAACAGTTTGTACACTTGCACAACTTGTATTAAGAGATTGGGAGGAATCACTTTAAGATTTTGGTATAGATTTGCATACCAAATTGTATAATGGTTTTTATAGGTCTGGTCCTAGCATTTGGGCTGGCAAATTAGCATCATCTGAGAACTTCTAATGGGTACAAATTCTTGAGCCCTATCCCAGACTCACTGAATAGTAAATTATGTGGGTGGGTCACAGTAGTTTGTGGTTTGTTTGCTTGTTTTGGGAATTGAATCAAGACTTTATACATGCTAAGTAGGCACCCTCCCACTGAGCTACAACTGGAGCCAACCAATCCATTTTAATAAGCACATGCGAAGAGTGGAGTATCTTAAATGTATTATATGGAATGCTTCTGTATGGAAGCTTTGTATCATTTAGCCACTAACATTAGTATAAATCCACAGACTTATACTTTTGGTTATTGCTATGGTTTATGTCTGGATGTCCCCCCAAAGCCTCATGCAGTCAATGGAGGGTGGGTTTTTGAAAGATAGTTGAATTGAGAGCTCATGATTGGTTCATTTTCCAGTGCTGAGATTGAGTGTGTGTGAGTGCCGCACCCACTGTAGGCCAGCTAGCCAGCATACAATATAAGGGAAGAAAAGAGATTTGCTCCTACCTCTTTTGCTCTTGCTGCTTTTGCTGTCTTCCACCACAACAAAAGTAACCAAGACACAATTTGGTACCAGAGAAGTGAGGTCCTTGCTCTGACTATA